TGGGTATGAAGGGGACAGCAGGTGGCATGGTAGTTAAAGGCACTGGATTCCCACATGGCTGACCATGGTTTGAGTCCCAGATCTGGCAGCTTGCTTTCTTGTCATTTTTCCAACGACCCAATATAATTTTTTTTTAATTATAAAAATTTTATTTTCAAGTTTAGACCAGGTCATCAGATTCTTCGGGGTGTTGACAAAACATAAATAGAGGATTTAATGAGAATACCCTTAACTTTACCACTGATGTATCCTCTCTCTAACAGGGGGGCCTGAGACTGGGACTGTGGATTAAGAAATTACATTTAACCATGAAGGCCTTGGCAGTGATTCTTTCAAGACATTGTCATTGGATTCTGACTAAACAGTACAGGAAACTCTTGGCAGTAGCTACTATATCCACTTGCTTGATGTCTCAAAATGTGTAAGCTGTTTCCACTTGTGAAATTAAGTCCTGGTAAATTCACTTCAAACAGATCAAACTGCTCGTTCCCATAGAGCCTCAGCAGGTATGTGTGTGTGCATATACATATATGAAATATTATGTTTTTGTTTTGTTTTGTTTTTGTTTTTGTTTTTTGTTTTTTGTTTGGAGAGGTTTTCGCTATAGGGCGCGTGCGCTCGCCAGACAGAGACATAGAGACAGAAAGCGAGAAATCACCCCCCAGGGGGGATGGTCACACCGCAATCCCTTCTCCTCCATTCTCCTCTCGGGATCTTGGGCACGCACGCACACGCGCCCGGCGTGAGATTTAAGCCACCGGGTCCGAGACGCGAACCGCGGTCGACTACGTGGGAGTCCAGCGACATAGCCATTATGCTAACTGCTGGTTCCCTGAAATATTATGTTTTTTAACATTCAATTGTTATACCTCATTTGGCCTGTAAAGAGAATTTACCCAACATGAAATATATCTCAGACAAGTCCATTTCAGAATACTATACATGTTATTAACAGGTAGTAAGACATTTCTGTGTCCTACAAATGTCTTGCCTCTCTATTTGTTCTCCCTGATTTCCTTCCCTATACGCTTGCCTTCTCCCACCCTCTTTCCACACTGTCTCCAGTGTCCATAACTATTTTCACTGCTTTTATGTTCTTCAATCTTTCAATCTCTACCATAAGAGTGCAGACAGCCGGTATATATGACATGGAGACATACAGTATGCCTGCCAATACAATTTTTTTTAGAGGTTTTTGCTATAGGGCATGTGTGCTCGCCAGAGAGACAGAAAGCGAGAAATCACCCCCCAGGGGAGATGGCCATGCCACAGTCCCTTCTCCTCCATTCTCCTCTCAGGATCTTGGGCACACACGCACACGCACCCCGCATGAGTTTAAGCCACTGGGTCTGGGACTCGAACCACAGTTGAGTACATGGGAGTCCAGCGACATAGCCATTATACCAACTGCTGATCCCGACCAATATAATTTTTGAGCTTTAGTTTTCTAATATATTATAAGACACCGATACTAATTTCTAGAGTTAAAATTAATATTCCAGAAAATAATGCCTAACAAATTTTAAATGTTTAATATGTCCCTATATCATCAATATTTCCCTTGCAATGTGTTCCGTATGGGAATACCTAGAACAAAAATGAACAGTAATGCAAAGTCAGGATTCATGGGCAAACATAACTATTTATTATTTTTTTCTTATAAACATTCAATATCTTCCTTAAAAAAAAAAAAACCTAGAATTTAAATATTTCCCATCCCATCACATACAAATCTGTATACATTATTTACATCTTTCAAATAAATCATATTACAGATTTTGACATTCAGTATCCTCTTTTAAAATGAAAATGAAGTCATTAAACTTTGATCGGTAACAAGTACAATGGTGTAATCTTGGCACGGCTGATAATATAGTGCCCGTGTTGCACTTCATATTTTAGAGCATTTCCCCCTTTCCAGCTACTTCAATAGAGAGAGGAAGTTTCTGTTTCCATAAGAGCAGGACCCTGGTCTTCACGCATTATCTTCAACATGTGCACAGTGTGGATGTGTCCTTGCGCTTCCATGACTTGGCACTGGCAGTAGTCCTCTGCTTTTTTTCTTTACAAATGATTTCTATTCAGACTTTAAGTGTTCTCTTTTTTACTACATTCTCTCCCAGCCTAGATTTCCCGATACTGTTCCTACTGGAATTTTAAATAATAACTTAAGAGAAAGGTACAAGGAAAGTTTGAGTAGTGTTCCCTACAAGATAAGTGCCCTCACCACCCTGCTTATGCAAGTACAAAAATAACAAAGACAATTTAGTGGCTGTAAAAAACGATTTTTCCTAAAAATAGTCATTTTTGCAGAACAATTTAAGGAGAAAAATGTTCTTAAAACAAAAATGCACTAAGCTATTTTGCACCTGCACAACTATGTATTGCAGAAACAAAATAAAAATGAAAACTTGTGCAAAATGGTAAGAAATACCCACTTACAAGAATTTAAAATTAATAATATATGAAAGAAATTAAATACTAATAAAATTTAAATTTTTATATCAATACTAATTTCAGATTCAGTGACATAATTTAAAGAAAACTATCAACCAAAACAAACTGAAATGCACATATTAACAGTAAGTACTTCACAATTATTAACAATGAAGACCTTCAAAATCAACCAAACTGCTTTGTTTTCAACTTGTGTGTGTGCATGCATGCATGTGTGCATTTGTGCATGTGAGCACACAGGTTATCTTTGATAACTGTAGTCCAAAGTTTTCTATTGTACAGTACTATATCAGAAAATCAAACTTAACTTGCACAACTAAAAGTATCCACTATTTTAATATGAATTTTCTTTTTTTTTTTTGTGAATCAGTTCAGCAATAGGTGGCAGATACAGAGCTCAATTTCATATCGTCAGAATGAATTATCCTCTGTGGTTAAGAAAGCCTTTAAAAATTCAAATGATCAGGAGTTAGAATTTTTGTTGTATCTCAAATAAAATTTCTCTATTAACTCTTGAGAGTAGGTTGAGAGCTGAAAGACAGTGATTCCGATGGTAAATCTTAACATATGACAAAAATGATATTCAAATTATTTTGGAAGTAATACTTAAAGGATAGATTGGCGTTTCCAAGAACGGGTATATTCTTTAATCTTCCAGATAAGTTTCAAAATGTGAAGTTTCCTCATTGGTATGAGACACATTTTCAAATTACAAATACACTTTTGGCCCCACATCTTTTCAAATGACATTCAGAATTTAAAGTTATATATGAAATGGTTGTATACATCTAAGTATCGTGTGACATGGAGGCTTAAAACAGCATAATTATTACATAAAACTTACTCCAATTTCTTTGTATGACAACTTCATCTTTGAAGTCAAATTGTTCATTTGAGGAAAAAAAAGGATAGAGATAAAGACTGTTGTTTCTTTCAATTATTTCTATCATAAATATTAGGCCCATTTTTTTTTTTTTTTTTGAGAGGTTTACGCTATAGGGTGCGTGCGCTCGCCAGACAGACAGAGAGAGACAGAGAGACAGAAAGCGAGAAATCATCCCCCAGGGGGGATGGTTATGCTGCAATCCCTTCTCCTCCATTCTCCTCTCGGGATCTTGGGCACACACGCACACGTGCCCGGCGTGAGTTTTAAGCCACCGGGTCCGGGACGCGAACTGTGGTCAACTACGTGGGAGTCCAGCGACATAGCCATTACGCTAACTGCTGGTTCCTAGGCCCATTTTTCATACTACCTATTCAATCAAAACTATCCTACAATAGTCAAGATAGAATTCAAAAGTTTTCAGGAAAAAGAACAAAAATTTAAAAAGCATATGCTAAAAAAAAAAGCCTTGCTTTTAAAAAATTATTATTGTATTTAGCTGTAAGATAATATAACTGAATTTTTAAAAAAAGTAAAACCTACATATCCAAATGATACTACCCACTTCAAGATAGTGGTAACAGAATACTATTTCTTCATCCATTGGTGTGACCAATGCATAAATCATTCACTTCTGCAAATTCAGAGCCTACGACCCATTGTTCTTGATTTTCCTAATGGTTTTAGTTCTAAAAGAACAGCCAAGTTGGTTTGGTGATTAAGACAGATCACATTGAGTTTCAAAAAAGTTCTTGGTGCAACTAAAATGGTGAAACTGATTTTCTTGCATAGTCACAAACAGATTCTCATGACATCTCTAAAAGTTTCCAAAACAGCATACTTTCGCAGCATAGCTGGAATAAGTAGTGATTCCCAAGGGATCAACTTGCATTTGGATGGTAAGGTATGGCGTACTCATTTTAAAAGAAAGTTCTACAACTTAATATTTGTATCTCACATATTCTACCATTTCAGTGGTTATCAAAACCTCTCTTAGAGAGGGTGTAGACAAAAGTATAAAAGAAATCTGTCATTTTGCTATTTTCCCATAAGCAAGGAAAATGGTAATACATAAAATGGAGCTTGGTGATTATATATCTAAAATAAAAATGTCCACATTAACTCTATTTCCTGATAAGCGATTGTAGTGCTTTATCCTTCCTGACACACCGGGCGGTAACTCAATCTGAGAGATGCGATGCACTGAGTCCTCTACCTGTGATATATTTTATGCTGACCATTTACAAATGACAAACAGAGTTTGAAAAGTAGAAAGAGACAGCAATCGGAAATCTTTCAATTCAAGGTAAAAGCCTCCACCAGCTAACACATACTTATGTTTAAATTAGTCTAATACCACGGTGTTTATGGGAAAGGGAAAAATCAAGTCCACAAATGGAAGCTAGTAGCACCATCTACTAACAATTAAAATTTCTGTTACATAAATTTGCTACTTTATATTTTATGAATGCTTTTATCAAAGAACAAGGAATCAACTTCTGCTTTAGATCTAAGTACAAAGGGTAAAGAGGGAGAGATAATTATCTTGGTTACTTATAAAAGAGATCTGAAAAGAACCCAGTAGACATCTATATACAAGCCACACTGCAAAACCAAGCTTTGATCTGTATTTTATAAAGGGCATCTTACTAACTCTCCTGAGAACTAATCAAACCAAAGCAACTCTTCATTAACAATGATTTTTCTCATATGCTCTGGTGAGCGTTTCCTTGCTTACAGCCATGTAGCACTATGTACAAGGCCAGCCTTTTGTCCCTGGGGAATTGCTGCACTTTGTTACCATGTATCCACACCCATCTATTTCCTTGCTTGCCAATAACTGGGTATAAAGGAATACTCAAAAGCAGGCACCTGAAATTCTGGCACAGTGAAAACAATCTCCTATCTTCGCACAGTGGGAAAGTAGATCCTACTACTGAACATTAATTTATAGAGAAAAATTTCCACTTTTATAATGTACTACTATATAAGGCTTAAAATAGGAGGTATACTTTTTTTTTTTTTTACACTACTCTCTCTGTACTTGGCTACTGCAACCTCTTTGTTACTCGGTTGATATGAAGTCAAATGCAGTAAGGAAGACTATCTGAATAACCGTGTGCTTCACTTTCCAACTCAAAACCACTTGACATATTTTATTTCTGAGTCAACTCAAAGAGGTTGATACGATCTATTTGGATAAAAAAGATTTGTTTTAAGGAAATCAGCTGGCTCGTGGTCACTGCAGTTTATTAAAAAGCATTGCCAGCAAGTGTCCAATATATATGCCTCCACCAGGCTCTCCTGTTACTTTTTTTATGGTATTTGATGAGTAATTGATGGAAAAAGAGATGAAGAAAGGGCAGTTTCTAGTGATCATAATTGTAACAGCATTATAATGTATCACTCACTGCTTGTGAATAGCAAAAACAAACTGATTTCATTTTAGATTCTTTTCTTACTGTTTTTAATGTACATAATTTCAGAGCCAGCATTTCTATTCTACAAGGAAAAGTTTGTAACTGAAGGAAGCAGATGTACCAGAAATAACAAAAACTGAAACTGCAAGCCTGAAAATATTTCTCAACGTTAAACTGAAGTGAAAAAAAAAAATCTTCAGTCTAAACTGAACTTGTTATTTATGGTAATAATTCACTAAAAAGTCATAGCAAATAAAATGTAAAAGTTAATAACTACTGATTCAGATTATTCATTGTTTATTATCACTGCAAAGAAAAAGATTTCCTTTCCCAGTGGAAAAATCAGAAGTCACAACACTTCAAACTGGACCTATAATAAGCAAAGAAGTTACTGTATCATTTTAAAATGATAGGCGAACACCAAATCCATTCACTGAATGGAAATGCTAAAAAGTGGTCAATTTCCCCTAAACAGTCCTTAAATTCCATGTCTGTAATAATGTCTGTACCTAAAATTAATAATTTATTTTTAACTTCTCATGGAAGTTGATTCCTAAGAGGAAGTCTCTAAGACTTTGTTTATATGTCATTGATTAAAACTTTCACACCATTCTATTCAAAGGTTTTAAGACAGGACTTTCTAAAACATGACTCCCCATACTGAATCCCATCCCCAACTCCTATACCTACTAATCCCTCCAACCAAACACCTACGTCTATTCCCCTCCTCTTCAAAGTAGGAGGGGATTCTACAGACTTATGGCTCATTTTGGCAATTGCTAAGAAACCTCACAGTTCAGCATCACCTCTGAGGATGGCAATTCTATATGTAACCTGAATTACATCTACAGTGCAGTTTACATGTAGAAAGAAGCCAAAATGTAACAGGCATGACATTTTAGCATCCAAGTTTCAATATCACAGATATCAAGAGATGGAAAAAGACCTGCTTGTAGAACTTTATGCTTTGTTGAACAGAATATATTACTGTCAATATAAAAAATAATGAAGAAATATTAATTTTTATGTTCTACATGCACACCTTTACAAATCATGTTTCTTCAATGTAGTAAAAGCTGGAGATCATCAATTTAGGTAAACTATGGCTTTTTACAACATGCACCAGTAAGTGCCCTGGGTAGTAATCCTAATATTGTTTTGAGCCCTGTTCAGTTCTATGTGCTTTGCACCTCAGAAGTGAGCCTGCCAAGGCACTTAAAAACATAAGTCTTTTGGGATTTCAAAAATGGGCCACAATTTACACAACACAGAACCCCCATCTATCAGCAGTTCAATCAATAAGCATTTTCTTTCAGCACACAATATTATGAGAAATTCCTAAATAACCAAAACCAAGTCAGAACAAAGAAATACTGTATGCCACTAAGACAAAAATCTACTCCTATCAAATGTATAAAGAATTGTCTTAGCTTCCTCTAGAAATAGATTGTTTTCAAAGAAAAAGAAAAACAAATAAGCCCGCCAAACCCAAGACAAAACAATCCAGATAAAAATAAAATACAACAAAACCCCAAATACTCTCCCGCACAGCTTAATTTAAAGAACTTGTACAGCACCACATCTTTTTATCTGTCCTTTGAGGTGAGTTTTTCAATCAGTTCTTGGAGTGGTGCAAGTTCTCTTCTGTCAATAAGGTTGAATTCCTATGTGTGATGAAAGGAAGAAGAAACAACAAAAACATTTGTATCTCATTCATTCCAAAACAGATTACCACTAACATTTGTTGGAAATTAGCTTTTGAAGTAAGAGCAGATTTCATTTTTCTTGTGTATTCACTATCTCTGTGTCTTAGGCAAATCACTTAGCCACCCTGATATTTTATTTTTACATCTGTAATAAGAGAACAAATCTTTCTGCCTCATAAACTTGTCATGGGGACTTAGAACCAGCAGATAGCACGATGGTTACATAGCTGGACTCCCACGCAGTCATTGACTGTGGTTTGAGTCTCAGTCCCAGACCCAGCAGTTTATACTGGGTGCGTGTGCACGTGTGCCCAAAATTCTGAGAGGAGAAAGAAGGGACTGCGGTGTGGTCATCCCCTCTGGGGGGGTGATTTCTCACTTTCTGTCTCTCTGTCTCTGTCTCTCTGGCAAGTTTATATGCCTTACAGCAAAAATCTCTCTTTAAAAAAAATATTACAGGGACTAAATGTGACACTGGATCTTAACCATTTCACATGACGCCTGGCACAAAGTAGCAATAAATGGGAGTTGACGCTTCTTGTTGAAAAGAATAACCTGGGCACATATAGTCCACCAAATAAGAACTGAAATATTTAGCATCTCAGGCAAACTTGAGCATTATATGAAGTGTAAAAGCCTGGTCATAAACTAATGGATCAGCAGGCAATCATAAGACAGTGGTACGAGAACAGAATGCATAAGGTAAAGTCCATGAATGGTAAATAAAATCTTTTTTTTTTTTTTGAGAGGCTTTTTCGCTATAGAGTGCTTGCGCTCACCAGACAGACAGAGAGAGACAGAGAGACAGAAAACGAGAAATCACCCCCAGGGGGGATGGCCACGCCACAATCCCTTCTCCTCCATTTTCCTCTCGGGATCTTGGGCACGCACGCACACGTGCCCAGCGTGAGTTTTAAGCCACCGGGTCCGGGACGCGAACTGCGGTCAACTATGTGGGAGTCCAGCAACATAGCCTTTATGCTAACTGCTGGTCCCAGTAAAATCTTAAAAAGAGGATAAATGAGAAAGCTTGAATTTACACTTCTTTAGAAGTTCCACCACAGGGCCAGCGGTGGCATGGTGGACTCCCACGTGGCCAACAGCAGTTGGAGTCTCAGACCTGATGACTTCCTTTCTCATTTTCCCTCTCTCTTTCTCTGTCTCTGGTATGAGCACATGTCCTACAGCAAATTAAAATAATAATAGTGATGATAAATAAAATTTTTAAAAAGTTCCACCCCGGTCATTCTGAAGTTCACTTCTAAAGAGATTTTCCCTAAATTATAAATTATAAAGCTAAATAACAGAGGTTGTCTTTACTTTTGATCTTCTGCCATGGTGAGCATTCTCAGCTCCCGATGTAACTTCTTATTAGCATCCACCATGTGCCAACCCCTATAGTGAGTACTGGGGAGAAACAATAGGAGCCATATATAGCAGACCGACCCATAAGATTTGTGAGGTCTCAGCTGACAATGCAAATGGATATACTAGATTACTGAATTTTACTCAGAAGGGGGCCAGCAGATGATATGGTGATTAAGGTGCTATAATCCCACATGATTGACCATGGTTTGAGTCCTGAACCTTCTCATTTTCTCTTTCTCTCTCTTTTTCAGTCCCTCTCTGGTGGGCATATGTGCCCTATAGCAGATTTTTAAAAACAGTAATAATGATAAAATTAATAATTCTTAAAAAAAAAACTTTAAGTATATGTTGTTAAATAAAACATATTTAATACTCCTACTCTGACAAAAATATTTTTTCTTTAACTTTTTAAAATATATTTACTTTTTAAACTATGTCACAGGGTCCATATGCACTCCAGAGAGACAAAGACAGGAAAAGTGAGAAAGCAACCTCTCCACCCCATGGGGAATGATCACTCACAATCCCTTCTCCTCCATTTCTCTCTCCTTTCAAGATTTTGGGTATGCATGCACACGCACCTGGTGTGTTTTTCAAGCCAGTGGGTCCAGCTGCAGCAAAATGTGCAGTCAAGTCATGTGGAATCCAGCCACCTTAACCACCACACCACCAGCTGGCTATATATAAAGTATACTTTACATATAATATATATTATATATAAACATATATTATATAATATATACTATATAAATATTCATATATATATACACATTCACACAAATATATATACATATATATGTATTTTAATTGCCACAGTACACATATGCTCGCCAGAGAAACAGGGGGTGGGAGAGGACAGAAAGCACCCTCCAATGGAGGGACTGGGTCATGCTGCAATCTATTCTCCTCCTTTTCTCCATCTTGTTGAGATTTGGACATAAACACACACATACCTACTGGGTTTTTCAAGACACTGAGGCTGGGATTCGAACACCACAGTCAGCCATGTGAGTTCTGGTTCCCTTGCCCACGAGGCCATATTGCCACCTCAAACATACTTTTAATAGTACTCTGGAATAGAAACACCCAGTACAAACTTTTTATCCTTAAACATGATAGACAATCTCTAACTTAAAAATTATTGTGTAGGTCCAGCAGATAGTATAATGGCTACATCGCTAGACTCCTACACAGTCAACTCCGGTTCGAATCCCAGACCTAGTGGCTTAAACTCACGCCGGGTGCATGTGCATGCATGCCCGAGGTCCCAAGAGGAGAATTGAAAAGGGATTGCAGTGTGGCCAGCCCCCCCTTGGGGGTGATTTCTCACTTTCTGTCTCTCTGTCTGTCTCTGTCTTTCTGGCGAGTACACGTGCCCTATAGCAAAAACTTATCTAAAAAAAAGAAAATTATAGAGTGCGGTTTTTAAAACTATACACACACACACACACACACACACACATATTTGATATTCAAAACCCATTTCTAGTCTAGGTAGAAAGAAGTGAGGGTAAAGAGGAATAGAAGGAGTACTAAATGCTCAAGAGACCTGACTTTGCTGGAGAAACACATGAGTAGTGTCACTACTTGGGACACTGGAAGCTGCATGAGAGGCCTGGGTTTGATTGTCAGGCCAACTTGAACACACCAGTGCAGGGGTGTATGTCTGTAATCTTAGCTAACTGGAAGGCAGAGAATCACAACTAAGTGAGACCCCGTCAAAAATAACTCTCTCTTTCTCTTCCCTATCTGTCTTTTCCCAGGCTCATAAAGGGGAAAAACAAAAAGGCTCAAGACCAATTTTATCTATAGATCTACAAAACTAATGTTAATGTTCTTTACCCAGCCCTTCTATACAGTCTGCTAACTGCAACAAATCCAAAACAAGATTTCTGAGATTTATTTAGATTTGCATGCCATTAACTTGGAGATTAATGAAATTTCAGTAACAAAAGGCCAGTCCTTACCATCATGGAACACTTAGGAGACGTGGTAGACTAGAGAAATATGGTACACTCTAGCCTGATGGCATGGATGCAGTACTCTAACAAGCACCAAAGGTCTCCTAAACCAACTTACCTGGACGAAAAAAATAAAGTGCTTGAAAGATGTATTGAGATGTGCTTCCTCCTGAAGCTGGATCACAGGGTCAAAATGCTGATGATAAATGTGAGCGTAAACCCTAAAAAGGCGTTTGAGTATAGTTTTTGCCACAGACATGAAATTCTTCGGAAATGGGACACCTAATAAAGAGATAAACAAACAACCCTATTAACAAGAGATAGAAAAAAGGACATATGAGTTAGTCAGAAATTGACAGCATAAATTACAAAGACAAGACTGAAAAGGTGCTATTGTGAACTACTTTATAGACCCATTAATGCCTTTCAGAAGTTGTCAACATATCATGAATACGAATAAACTTTAAAGCTTTAAGAAGGAGCGAGAACCAAGGAATAACAACTAGTCTTCATTATAGCCCATTATGCCTCTAACATAACATGACTTGACTAAGATGAAACAAACATCTAAAATGATAGTGCAAGTACACGTACACTCAGATTCTCAGATTTCTTTTTCTTAAAGAATTATTTAATTTTATTTGTCATTATTTTTAATTTGACCAGCGAGAGAGAGAGAAAGGGAAAGTGAGAAAGCAAGCTTCTAGTACTTGAACAGTGGTTGGCTGTGTGGGAGTCTAGCACCTTAACCACCACACACCTGCCAGTACCCAGATCCTCAGATTTCTTAACATCAAGTCTCAAAAGAACAATGCTGAACACAAATAACTGTGTACAGTTTTGTTTAAAATGATTGTAATACATTTTATATAATTTTTCCTACGTAAAGTATTTCATTACTATTCCAGGTTTATATTTGTACTGCTCAACTAGATTCATTGTTTTGTGAATTATAGCACAGGATTAAACAAACACAAAACCAGAAAAATACAAAATCTCTGTGAAGAAAAGGAAGCCTTCAAACATTGTTAGTGAGAAGGAAGACTGGTGCAGCATTATGCAATAGTATATAGGTTCCTAAATGAACTAGAAATAGAACTACCATATGACCAGCAATCCCCTTTCTGAGTATAAGGAAATGAAAATCACCACAGGGTAAAGATATTTGCAATCCCATGTTCACTGCAGCATTATTCACAATTACCGAAATATGGAAACAACCTAGGTATCCATCAACAGATGAATAGATTAAGAAACTCTGGCACATGGGGCCAGCAGGTGGCATGGTGGTTAAGGCACTGGACTCCCACATGTCCAACCATGGTTCAAGTTCGGACCTGCTGGCTTGCTTTCTTACTTTTCTTCTCTCTCTCTAGTCAAATTTTAAAAATAATAATAATAATAATAAATTAAATAATTCTTTTAAAAAATAAAAAACTCTGGCATATTCACTACAATACTATTCAGCCTTTAAAAAGGAGAAGATGGGGACCGGCAGATGGTGTAACATTGCTGGACTCCCATGTAGCTGACAGCGGTTTGAGTCCTGAACCTGGCGGCTTAAAACTCACATCAGGCGTGTGTCAGTACATGTCTAAAATCTACAGAAGAGAATGGAGGAAGGGACTGCAGCATGGCCATTCATCCTGGGGAGTGATTTCTTGCTTTCTGTCTCTCTGCCTCTCTAGAGAGCACACATGCCGTACAGCAAAAATCTCTGTTAAAAAAATAAAGGAAGGATACGGGGCTGTAGTGGGTAAGCGCTGGATCCCCACATGGCCAACCACAAATTAAGTCCCAGACCCAGGGGCATGAAGGGCATGTGTGGGTGAGTGCCAATAAAAAGATTTGCCACAACCTGGACATACCTACAGGATATTATGCTAAACAAAATAAACCTTTCATGAAAAGCAAAAAATAGGTGATCTCATTAATATGGAACCTAAAAATTAAGGGGGGGTCGAATGTATAGAGATAGAGAATAAAATAGCATTTATAGCATTTACAAGGGGCAGTGTTGGGGGGAAGAAATGTGGAGATGTAGCTTAAAGGATAAGAAGTAACAGATACGTAGGCTAGATAGGTTTAAAGATCAAATGTACAATTTGAGGACTAGGCGGAGTACAATAATAGGGTACTGTAGTCAGGATTTCAACTAAATGAACAGATTGCAGGTGGTTTTGCCACAGAGGGGAAAAATAAGTGTGAGATGAAAGATATGTTCATTTGTTTCAATGTAATAAACATTTGACTACATGTATTTTATAACATCATGCTCCATACTTAAATAGACACAACCTTTATTTAAAAAAAAGAAGAAGAAGAAAGAAAAGAATCTAGGCTAGCAGGTGATACGGCTGGTGGTTAAGGCACTGGATCCCACATGGCTAATGACACAGTTCAAGTCCCAGACCTGGTAGACTGAAAAACATGCCAGGAATGTGTGCATGTGTGCCTAAAAATCCCCAGAAGAAAGCAAGGGAGAGGGACTTGGCCATTCCACCTGGGAGGGGGTGATTTCTCACTTTAGCTCTCACTGTCTTTCTCTGGCAAGCGCATGAGCCCTATAGGGAAAATTTTTTTAAAAAATAATTAAAAAAAAATTTTATTTATTCATTCATTTATTTTAATTTGACCAGAGAGAGACACAGAGAAAGAGAATGAGAGAAAGCAAGCCACCAGGTCCAGGACTCGAACTGTGGTCAGCCATGTGGGAGTGTCCAGCGTCTTAACCACCACACCACCTGCTGGTCCCCTATAGTGAAAATCTTAAAGAAATAAAAATAAAAATTGATAATATCTTAAAAGTCAATTGAAGTAGAAATTTATATATATAAACCTATCCTTTCAGCTAATAACACATTTAAAAACACTATGTAAAAGGGTAAAAAAAAAACAATTCACATAGGATAGCTTGCTCATTTTACCACTAAGATAACAAACTTTTGTGTCACTTCTAGGGAACTATATAACATACACATACATAACAAAGCCGATGGGCAGGCAGGTGGCATGGTGGTTAAGGACACTGGACTCCCACATGGCCGAGTGCAGTATGAGTCCCGGACCTGGTGGCTTGTTTCTCACTTTCCCTCTCTCTCCCCCTTACTCTGTTCCTCTCTAGTCAGATTAAATAAATAAATAGATAAATGGATAAAGTTAAATAAAATAATTCTTAAAAATAAAAAAGAGGGCCGGCAGGTGGCGTGGTGGTTAAGGTGCTGGACTCCCACATAGCCAAAAGCAGTTCAAGTCCTGGACCTGGAGGCTTACTTTCTCACTTTCCTCTGTCTCTCTCTCTGGGCAAAAAAAAATAAATAAATAAAAATAATAATAATAATAACAAATAAGAATTAAGTAAATAAAGAATTCTTAAAAAAAAAAAAAGAATTCTCCAACTGTGTAGGGCAAAAAGAGGGAGGACAGCTCTAGAATCATATAAAATTACGTAAATCATCAAGGATATCAATTACATAAAATAATTATACCAATTTTTGATGGAAACAATGTCTCATCATCCAACTGGTCCTGAACCCAAGTCATCAGGTAATCAATATACTTTGGCGCAGAGCACTTAATAGGCTTCTTTATGTTTGTTCCATCTGCCCAGTGATATTCATATCTGCATTCAAAAGAAAACAATCCACACACAATATTATTATATCCTCATATGGAGTATACATACTTTTTATAGCATATATGTATATATATTATGAATGTGTATATGGACATGTTTTAAGCAATCCATTTCTCCACATAAAGATGGATTTATAAATTGTTAGTGAACTATTTTGCATGTATCACAACCCAAACTAACCAGATCATGTCAAACCATTTTTTGCGTTCATATCCTCTCCTCAATGAATGTTCTTAAGTAGCTTTCTCTAATATTCAGCTCTCATTTTACAATCATTACTACATCACTGTAGTAAAAAAAAACTAGCTTACTTTTCAGTTCAATGACAAGCATCTTTGAATTTTATGGTTGCTTTTCTTCCTTAAAAAAAAAAAAATCTCGGGACCAGCAGTTGGAGTAATGGCTGTGTCATTGGACTCCCACTTAGTCAACTGCGGTTCGAGTCCCGGACCCGGTGGCTTAAACTCACGCTGGGCACGTGTGCATGTGTGCCCAAAATACTGAGAAGAGAATGGAGGAGAAGGGATTGCAGTGTGGCCAACCCCTCGGGGGTGATTTTTCGCTTTCTGTCTCTCTGTCTCTCTGTCTTTCTGGCGAGCTCACACTATAGCAAAAACCTCTCAAAGAAAAACAAAAAACAAAAAACAACCCTCTCCTGGGGACCAGCAGAGGGCAGAATGGTTACGACACTGTACTCTGACATAGTAGGCCTTGGTTGGAATCTCAGACCCGGCTGCTTAAAAGCTCACACCCGGCTGCTTAAAAGCTCACACCAGGTGGGGACCAGCAGTTAGCATAATGGCTATGTTGCTGGACTCCCATGTAGTCGACCACGGTTTGTGTCCCGGACCTGGTGGCTTAAAACTCACGCCAGGCACGTGTGCGTGCCCAAGATCCCGAGAGGAGAATGGAGGAGAAGGGATTGCAGCGTGGCCATCCCCCCTGGGGGGTGATTTCTCGCTTTCTGTCTGTCTCTATCTGTATGGCGAGTGCACGTGCCCTATAGCAAAAACCTCTCAAAAAAAAAAAAAGCTCACACCACACCAGGTGTGTGTATGTGCGCGTGCCCAAGATTCCAAGAGGAGTAGATGGCATAATGGTTATGTCAGTGGACACTCACATAGTCGACCATGGTTCAAGTCCCAGAACCGGTAGCTTAAAACATGCTGGATGCATATATATGCATGACCAAAATCGTGAGAGAAGAGTGGAAGAGAAGGGACTGCAGTGTGGTCATCCCCCCTGAGGGGGGGATGATTTCTTGCTTTCTGACTCTGTCTCTGTCTCTCCAGCAAGTGCAGTGCCCTATAGCAAAATTCTCTCTTTAGAAAAAAAAAAGAAACTTTCCTTATGTAATACAATTTTTGTTTAACTTGGGGGCTTCAAATTTTGAGTTAAGGACAGAGAATAACACAGAGCCTCTCAAGTAAGATCAATGAAAAAAAGAATGAGTCAACATTTGAGTATTTGGCTGAGATGCCAAATAGGTCTTTAAAAAAAATTGGCAACTCACATAAAATGCCTATAGGTTTTTAGGTACGTATTACAAGAACACTATCCTTTGATTTAAAAAAATTTTAATGTGTATCTACCGTGTGAGCAGTTACTACATCAAGAACAAGGGATGCTAAAATAAACGACTCTTTC